TTACGAATAATGGATCTGTAGAAAAATGGTCAGAAATATATTTTCAAAATATTTTCTCCTTAACAAGAATATTAAATACCCGGGAATATATAATCCAACCAAATACAAAATTCTTTGAAACATTTCGCTACATTTCACCGACAAAAAACGAGGATGACATCTATTGACAATCCTCGCACACACACTTAGATAAATTTACCGTACAACTTACATCTAAGCACACAAACATTTACATGCACACTCTTGCACTATTACAAATTTTAACGTATAAAATGTTCCTCGCACATATTTATATATTATCTATTGTGTTTATACACGTGACACGTTTCTGACCAATGAGAAATAGTTTCAAATCGTAACATAACAGTACTATGTCGCTTTGCTTTTTTTCTATCTCGATCTCCGTCTACGTTTTAATATAGGGAAACATGTTTGTTAATGGTAATTTACCCATGCACGCATGGACTCTCCCAGCTATAAATAAGAACAGGTTATACCTCGTAGAGGGGGGGGGGTAGTTTCCAGAAGTCAGCTCTGATAGTCGGACCGAATATTTTTGCTGGAACACTCTCGTTTGTATTTGTATTACTGTTAATATATTTGTTTAACGCAATTCCTCTCTTCTGTCTTTATTCCTGGCCCTAACAAGGCCACAACAATGTTAGATTGAGATATATTTCCTAATTGTTCTTCATTTTGTTTTCTCATATATATATATATATATATATATATATATATATATATGGGAAAAGTGTATATAAATATAAATATATATATGTATAATTATTTATATATTATATGCGCGGTACTTATTAGAAAGCGCTCAATATCAGAGCTAGAGCTGACATATTTGGTTGGATAGATGTGAGTTTGTGACCCTGGGTTTCACGCTTTAGCGTTTGTCTGACGATCGCTAAAGCGTGAAACCCAGGGTCACAAACTCACATCTATCCAACCAAATATATATATATATATATATATATATATATATATATATATATATATATATATATGAGAAAACAAAATGAACAACAATTAGGAAATATATCTCAATCTAATATAAATATATATATATATATATATATATATATGCATTTTTGTAATGATTGCTTGTAAGAAACTTATAAAAATTAAGTATTTTTTTATATATATATATATATATATATATATATATATATAATAAAACATAATAAGAATATGATAAAAAAAAAACTATAAGTCTGGCTATAATTATAGTTAAATGTGCTCAATATCCGGAAGAGAGCATATGTAAGCATAAAAGTGTAAACTGAAGTCCACACCAAGTGGTGAAATTCCGTTGAATAGTGAGACAGACAGACTTTGCCACTCGATGTTGACTTCAATTTCCACTTATATATATATATATATATATATATATATATATATATATATATATATATATGTGTGTGTGTGTGTGTGTATCAAATGCAGACCTTTGGGAGAAATGCGAGATTGTTACCATGGAGACCATCATAATGCAATCATAACTACTATGAGCTGGCCATATGACAAGGATGAGTGATGATCGTATACCAAGAGATCTTTTTTTTTTTTACAGCGAACTCCATAGTGGTCATAGAAATGTTGGTAGACCTTGGCTCATGTATAAAGATATACTGTAAAGCAATCTTTCTTGCATCAACATTCCATTCATGAACTTTGAAGAGATAGCTATGAAGAGATCAGAGTATCATTCTAATAACGATACTCGAAATAATACACCATCAAGAAGTAAGCATCATTCGACTACGTGAAACACGAAAGCAAAATAAGACAGCTAACAGTGTCCCTGCTGCAGAATATATTCTCCTGTACTCTTTGCAGTCTTTTGTGCAATTCTCGAGCCGGTCTCAAAAGTCATGTCCGTCAAAGGCATGCAGATAATTAGTTCGTGGTCGACGAAACCTCATACGTCAAACTCGACGGGAGAGTCCATTATACATATGTATTACACACTAAGTGTTTCAAGTAAAATACAGTAGTCGATGTCAAATAATACAGCTAAGATTTATATTAAAATAATTATGTAGTTATCCCTCAGTTTCACGCACGTGATAATCATCAAACTAAAAGTCTTATTTGACTTGTAGAAAATGTATTGCATGGGAAAAAAATAAAATTGTGTGCACTGTCAAAAAAAAGGACATAAATAATAATAAAATAAAATTATGTAAATGAGACGATATAAATCCATTTTAAAAATACGAAATCGTGAATCTTCCCGAATTTTAGATTTCATGTGCTTCAATTTCATTCAACAGAAGAATTAGTTTATTATAGAATATTATAGAAATACACACACACCAATTTAAACCCTTCTAGATATTATTTTACTTATCTTCACTAAGACTCAAGAGAGAAAAGGTTATTGAATGAGGACGGATCTAGGTAAATTTCTCAAAATCAATTGCTCGACAGTAAATTGCTTGAAATCTATTGCTCGAAAAATAATTTCTCTAACTATCAATTGCTCGAAAAATAATTTCTCTAACTATCAATTGCTCGAAAAATAATTTCTCTAACTATCAATTGCTCGAAAAATAATTTCTCTAACTATCAATTGCTCGAAAAATAATTTCTCTAACTATCAATTGCTCGAAAGGCAGATTGTTCGAAGTAATTTCGTATATGCACTGTTACCTACCAAAACCAAAGAAACCTATGAGAGGTTCCTGAAGACTCTTAAAGAAAAAATCCCTATATTCCAACCATTGACAATAGTGATAGATTTTGAACTTGCCATGGTTAAGGCCACAGAACAAGAATTTCCAATGTAGTGAGGATTTCTTTTTTTTTTAAATTTCAGTCAAAGCCTTTATCGAAAAATCCAAGCAAGTGGTCTTAAGATAATGTACGAATAATAAAAATGTACCATTTATTTTAAACTATGACAAAAAAGAAATGTAGAAAAAAAAATATGATCTGGTATATAAATGTACTCGTTCTTTAATTTTAACTGTTCAGTTAACAACAACGTGTTGTATGATTTTATCTCATAGTAAATATTAGAAAAAAACGTAGTTTTTTTTGTTTTGATTTTCTTTAACCACAGGTTTCGAGCAAACTGCCTTTTCAAGCAATTGATATTATTTTACCGGTCTTCACTAAGACACACGAGACAAAAGGTAGCGAGTTACTCAGGGATCAAGGAAACAAATTCTGCTGGGGTAAGAGACATCATTTCCAAAAAAAGGGGCCTATTTTCCGAAACAAGTTTGATTGACTGTGAGGATCTATTTATGAGAATTTGTGGCTTTCAAAGGCTGCACGGAAAAGAGTTGGCATCTATGCACCACTGCCGCCCACCCAAATAAATCATTATGAGTCCGTCACATCATAAGACCCTTCTAAATACATTACAATAAACAGGTTTATAACAACAAATGATACAATCTAATACACGCCTAATACCTTATTACTTGCTTAATATTTCATTCTTTTAGTTATTTCTCCTAATATTGATCTTTTTCTTTCTCTTTTCCTTTTTTTTTTATCTGTCTTCTGCTTGGTTTCCACCGACTTGTCTTGATCGACTTTCATCTTTGGATCAGTCTGCTTGCGTGCGCTTTGGAAGCGCTGCCAAACTGACCAGAATTCAGAATCGATCTGAACCTCTTCGAAGAGTTTTTCAATGACACTCAAAAGAGGACATTTGACTTATTAGGAACAAAGTGTTTCTTTTAATTATATCGGTGTTTAATTTCCGTTTCAACTGAAGCCACAAACTCTGGAAGGAGTGTTGATCCTCGGGTCAACAGGTGAAGCGAAAGAAAATGAACGAGAAGGAATAGGAGAAACAATGATAAGAGAAGAATATGACTATGTCCGAAGAGAAATAAAGAAATAAATAAATATATATATATATATATATATATATATATATATATATATATATATATGTGTGTGTGTGTGTGTATATATATATATATATTTATATATATATATATATATATATATATATATATATGTTTATATATATAGATATATATATATGTTTATATATATAGATATATATAGATGTTTATATATAGATATATATATATATAAGTTTATATATATGTTTATATGTTTATAATATATATATATATATATATATATATATGTATACATATATCAAAATAAAGAGAAAGAACAATCAGATTAACAGTTCTTTAGCATTTAATTTTTTTAACAAAGTATAGCATAATATATAAATAATCTATATCTATATATATATAATATATATATATATATATATATATCTATATATATATATATATATATATATATATATATATATATATATATATATATATATATATATATGACTAGATAAGCTCGAACTTGAGAGTCAAAGAAATCATAGAGAAAAGGAGCAGGGAAAATAGAAAAAGCGAATAAATTAATTTAAAATAAAGAAAAATAATTAAAAAAAAAGTATGTGAAAGAATGAAACGAATAAAAGAAGAGGTAAAAAATGGGGAAAAAATGAATAATTTAATCATATTTTATAAAAAGAAAGAAAGAAATTAAAATTAAAATTAAAAAATTAAAATTAAAAAAATGTTACGAAAAGGAAGAGAGAGTATTATAGAAAGGAAGAAAGTGATGAAAAACGAAAGAAAAAAAAAAGAAATTAAAAAATGTTTACATAACTTACGAAAAGAAAGAGTAGTACCTTAAAAAAGAAGGAAGGAAAGAAAGAAAGAAAGAAAGAAAGAAAGAAAGAAAGAAAGAAAGGAAGAAAGAAAGAAATTAAAAATGTTGACAAAAATTACGAAAAGGAAGAGAAAGTATCATAGAAAGGAAGAAAGAAAGAAAGAAAGAAAATAAAAATTAAAAATGTTTTCTAAACTTATGAAACGAAAGAGGGAGTAACTTAACCAAAAAGAAAGAAAGAAACAAACAAACAAACAAATTTAAAATGTTTACAATTACGAAAAGGAAGAGAGATTATCTTAGAAAGAAAGAAAGAAATTAAAAATGTTTACAAAAATTACGAAAAGGAAGAGAGAGTGTCTTGGAAAGGAAGAAAGGAATGAAGAAAGAAAGAAGGCAAGAAAGGAAAAAAGGATTGAATAATTAAATTATTTTTCATAAATAGTAGTAAAAAGACAAAAAGTCTTATAAATCCTAGAAAGAAAGAAAATGAATAAATGAATGAAAGAGTGTGTGAACGATAGAACGAATGAATCAAAGAATGAATGAATTAAATAAATTTAAAACGTTAACAAAAATGACGAAAAGGAAATGAGCGTATCTTAGAAAGAAAGATAAACTGTAAAGGAAAAAAAGAAACGAAAGAAGAAATTAAAACGAAAAAGTTACTAAAAGTGAAGATAAAATGAAATGTGGCACAACGAATGAAATAGAGAATAAAAAAAGAAATGAGCTTAAAAGGACAAGAAAGAAAGAATGAAAAAAACATGGAAATAAAGAGAATATAAATTCATAGACATTTCTTTGATCAGAATATATAAAAGAAAATCGAAATCACAAAGCACATATTGGTGGTCGCACTTGCGTGAACCGAAACACGCATTTATCGCAATTCTACGAAGCTAAAGACTTATATCCATGCAATTACATCTCTAATATTCAAGTATCAATGAAACTTCACATTGTTATATATATATATATATATATATATATATATATATATATATATATATATATATATATATATAAAAAAGAAATAAATGCTTAGATAAATCTCTATGAATGCTCTTACTAAAATTAGTATCAGAGATTGGCAACTAGGTTTCACAGTTTCACTGTTGATCTACGGAGATATAAACGACAATTTAATAATAAGAGTTTATTTTATCGCACCTCTCACCGGTGTAGCTCCATTTTCATTCCTTGCTTACCTACCACTTACAAACTTCAGAAATTTAAATGCAATATCAGTCGCCATCTTCTGACTTCCTAAGTCCTGTTCTCTATTTTCTTTTTTTTTTTTTTCTTCACTTCTCAGTAAAGTCTTGTAAGTCCTTGTAAACTGCCGCATGCTAATGGCATTTTCGTCTTGTTAGGGTGAAATGATTAATATATATATATATATATATATATATATAAAGAAATGTAGTCTTAAGATGTGCTATATTTATGGGATAAAGTGCTCAATATCAGAGATAGAGCGTGTGTAAATATAAAAGTGAACATAGAAGTCAACACTTAGAGGCGACAGTCTGTTTCATGCTAGATGCAATCAGAGGCCTGACGATTGCATCTATGTTCACTTTTATATATATATATATATATATATATATATATATATATATATATATATTGACAACAATATGTAGGAGTAGAATCGGCTTTCAAATAAAGTAGAAATTGTACAAACCGCTAGCAGTCTCCATTCTCCTATATGGAAATGAAACGTGGACATTGTGGCAGATACAGTATGATCCAAGCATTTGAAAACAAATGAATGAGAAAACTCCTCGGCATTTTCTATTGGGAACAAAAAACCAATGAGATTTCGCGCAAAAGGGTTGAAAGTTTTGTGGGACACTAGGAACCTCTTCTCTCCACTATCAAACGGAGAAAAATGGCGTGAATGGGACATATTACAAGACACGACAGCCTGTGCAAGACCATCATGCAAGGCGCCGTTGCAGGTGGACGTAGGACAATCGACAGGTATCACTCTACCAGAATTGCTTATGGCTGCCGTTGATAGACCGTCGTGGTAAAGAGTTAGTGTGGCTTCTGTATCAGGATCCGCCCAACGAATACAAAAGGCAAGAAATGATATATATATATATATATATATATATATATATATATATATATATATATATATATATATATATAATGTATATACTGGCATTTTAAATCGAGACATCCCGACTTACCAACTGTTAGCGATCAATTAAATGCACCAATTGTGACCCCTAATTGTAACTCAGTGAGTGCACGGACTAAATAGTCACCTACACCGAGAAAGCATCAATCAGTAGCGATCAAAAAATGTGAAAGTGTTCAAATGAGGAGTTCACACACACACATATATATATATATATATATATATATATATATATATATATATATATATATATATATATATAAAAGGCAGGATGTATGTGTGTGTAACGAATGCACCGCCGCAATTTTCGACGGATTTACACCGAAATTTACATGCACATGCTCCAAGTTAGCGGGAAGGCCAAGAGCAACTTTGCTTTTCCCAACTCCCAATGTGTATTTTATGGTTCATATGTGCCACAAGCTCCCTCAAGCTGCCTACTTTTTCTCTCATCGCCTACATCTAAAATCACGGTTCTAGCGATATAAGCTTGTCAGCGATTATACCATATGTCTCAAGGTCCTTGATAAAATTCAGAGACGGATATGCAATGTAATTGGCGCTGATCTGGCAGCTCGTCAGCAGTCGCTCTCTCACATACGTGCCGTCACCTACCTCTGTCTTTTTTACAGATACTTACACGGTAGCTGTTCCGATGAGCTGCTTTCGCTAGTTCCCAGACTTCATGAATTTAAGCGTTCAACTAGGCTGGCATCTCGCTCTCACCCTTTCAGTGTCGAAACTGTTAAATGTAGCCGTCTCTTCTACTCTAATAGCTTCATGTCTCGCACCTCTCGCCTATGGAACTCCCTCCACTTTTATTGCTTACCTGATAGCTATAATCTCCAACTATTCAAATGTAATGTCAATCGACGTCTCTAGATGCCCTGATCTATCCCCTATCCTTCTCTTCATCCTTTCCTCTATCACTTCTCTTTGCTCTCACTCCAACTCTCTGTAACCTCTTGAGTGCTAGTGGCTTCCCGCCTTGCTTGGGTTGAAATGATAAAAAAAAAAATAAATAAATAAAAAGTATATATTTCTTATTATACTACTACCACAAGTTATTCTTCTTGTCGCCCTGCTATAAACTACATTCTACAAAAAAAGCCTCTCATCGGGAGAATGCAGGGTTTTTGGAGCGTGGAACCATTTTTTAACTGCTGTTGCTCGCAGGTCCACGCTAACCCGGAATAGCACCTGTTGGAGTCCCAGCTGCAAGCAAATAGTGAACCCCCAAAGAAAAATCGATAGTACAATTTTTATAATAAAATTATCAATACATTTTTATCGCAAAAAAAAAAAATATAAAAATAGATTTTTATATTAAATTACCAACAATATATTTTGTGATTTACAAACTGCTATTTCAAAGAACATACCTTTACCCTGAAAATATAAAATTATGGACAAAATATCTGTAGTTGTAACCATAAAATTACGCACAAATTATTTAGATTTCGACATTAAATAACCCATAGAGGCTATGCCGCTAAACAAAATCAACCAACCATCAATGTATATTTATAATAAAATTACCAACAATACAATTTTAACGCAAAATTACTAGAAATATTTTTTATCTGTAGCTGAAGGCATAAAATTGTGTTCAAAATATATTCAGTTGAAATTATAGAATATTTACATTTCAGCATTAAATAGCCCATATAGGTGTTAATATGCCGCTAAACAAAATCAACCAGCCATCAATGTATATTTATAGTAAAATTATCAACAATATATATTTAAAGTAAAATGACCAACAATATATTTTATCGGTAGCTGAAGACATACAATTGCGTTCAAAATATATTTAGTGTAAGCCATAAAATTGCGTACAAAATGTTTAGATTTCAGCATTAAATAACCCATAGAGGTTTTGATATGCCGCTAATCAAAATCAACCAACTTTCTTGTTTTTTTTTTTTTTTTATAGTAGGGTTCACCCTACATAAGGCCCGGGGACAACTCGAGGTAGATGGTGACGTTAAGGAGTAATTTATATGGATAGGAAGGAGAGATAAAGTTTGACTCTTGACGAACTGGTTAAGATTGCAATAATCGGGGAAACATCGCCTTTGGAGTATGTTACATAGGGCAGTGGTTCGCGAGAAGAAGCTGTTTGAGTGGAACTTCTCGCCGACGAAATACGGAGGGAATATGGGTGGTCTGCTACAATATAAGTGGTATGGCGATTCCTAGACGTGAAGGTCAAACCTGGCAGAACCAGGAGATGAAGTTCGTCCGAGAACATTCTAAGATAGTAGCGATAGGGCACAGTGAGAGACTCGCCATATTCTGCCCATGTTTGTGAGAGACAGAACGAGAGAGGTTGGAGTTTTAAAAATTAATTCTTCTCTAACAATGACTCAAAGACGCTTTTGAAATCTATCAAGACTGGAAAGTGAGCAGTTCCTGTCCATATATGTAGATGTGTTTATATGTGTGTGCATGTTTTGGTATGTATGTACTCATATATATCTGCATATGGGTGTATATGTATGTATATATGTATGTATAGTTAGACGGATAGATATAGGGATACATTGTTTATTTGTTTAGATGGGTGTATGTAATTGTATGGAGATGTAAGGTTTTATGTATATATGTTTATGTGCACGTATGTGTATGTCCATATGTATATATGTGTGTAAATGTGTATATATATGTAGGAGTGGATGTGTATGAATGTATGTGTATATGTATTTATGTATGTATATGTATACATGTATGTGTATGTGTGTATGTATGTATGTGTATGTATGTATATGTGTGTATATGGATATATATATATGGATATATGGATATATGTGTATGTGTGTACATGGGTATATATATGTGTGTATGTGGGTACACGCCTATATATATGTATGTAAATGTATATGTTATTGTGTATGTGTGTATACGCATGTGTTTTTGAACATAAAAATATAGGTCCTTGCTAGATTAGATAATTGTTATATTTATTTTTTATATGTTTATGTTTCCATTTCCGGTCTGATCTAGTTCTTATAAAGGTAGAGGATAGCATGAGGAGTCCGGTACCTTTTGGAGTGTTCCAGGGAGCCGATCATTTTACCTGCATCTTTACCGAGGGATCATATACAGGAATTCAACTTGAGGTCGGTTGTGAATCTGAGGCCTAATATCCTCTCAAGTCACAGCGCCTCCTCGAAAGGACATTCGTTCATCTTGACTGGCGGTAGTTCGATGTCTGATCGGCGGTGATGGAATGGAATCAGTTTGGCTTTTGAGGCTTTGAATGTAACCAACCAGTTTTTTACCCAACATGAAGAAGGTTGAGAGATCCCGTACAGAGGTTGCTAAGATCTGCCGTCAGACCGAATCTTCTGTCACATCATTTTTATTGCAGTACATTGTTAGAATTGTTCTGTATCTGTCTATATTTCTTATATTATGTACACTATTTACATTATTCGGACTTTGTCCTCATCTTTGTCGCCATATTTATTACAACCTTTCGGTTAAGGCAGTGGAGAACTTGGAGAGGGGAATTAACAGGAGATAACTGATAACTGACATCCATTAAACATGGCACGTGGAACTAGACAGTCTACCCTAGTGAGCGAAATAAAGGGTTCAGTTCGACATTC